CAGTAAAAAATATAAATTACCGGTTAAGACAGTAAAAATACAGTAAAAAATATAAATTACCGGTTAAGCAGTAAAAATCAGTAAAAAATATAAATTACCGGTTAAGCAGTAAAAATCAGTAAAAAATATAAATTACCGGTTAAGCAGTAAAAATCAGTAAAAAATATAAATTACCGGTTAAGCAGTAAAAATTAATAAAAAATAAAAAGAACAGTTCCGCTTTCAGGCTTCGCTAACGCCTTCATTGCTTTTTTGTGTTATCCGAGGTACGAATTAAACCATTAAAAAAAAGCAATGTTACTCTATTCTTTTGCCTTAAATAACTAAAATTAAAATCAGGGCAATTTGACGGTTGCCCCCGGAGGGCCGTGCAGGCGTCAAATTAGCGGAGCGGCACCTGATTTTATATGGGACCATCGACTACTGCTCTCCTTCCAAGGCATGTAATCATCATCGGGGGCAGCAATGACTAGCTCGTCCTCGGCCCATGTGGCGTTGGGATTCCAACCTTGAGATAGAGCGCGAGCGACAGACTCCATGTTAAAGTAGGGAATAGACTAGACTTTTGGCGACCAAGAATCTTCCGAACCCTCGCGCCGGAAATCGAAGCGGCTGTCACCTCCACGGTCCACATCCTCGCTACGATGGGGGTCCATTACCATATGTAGGTACCACCTAGGTACCTAGTCTTTGAGATGCCAATGGAGGCCCAGATGGAAATGAAGATGCGGATGGATAGGAATGTCTAAAGAGGGAGATAAAGGTGGGGATGGCCGTCTACCGTCAAGATATGGCAGCAGACAAAGCCTTGGTGTGTTTTGTTCAGGAGCAGCTATTGAAACTTTCTGTTTCTCTTGTCCAAGGAAGCATGGGCCATGGTAGGTGTGGCAGGTCGGGAAGTATGTGGTCCCGGTGATTCAATTTTCCATACGTCGGGTAGCAGCACCTTCCTTCAGACACAAAGCACATGCCAGTATACCTAAGCTACCAAGCACCGCCGCAGTAAAAACGTGCGGGCTGTGGCACTCGGGCAGAGCTGGGCCCCAGGCAGTAAACTGCAGGGAAATTTCTGGCCGGGCTGGTAGCCCACCCAGCCTGAGGTCTCTTGAAGTCTGAGAGAGCCCCAGCCGGTTCCGCGGTGGCCGGCACACCCACAAACGGCTGGGAGCTTCTGGCCAGGCAGCACAGTGACGTGGTCACCAAGCAAACTTGTGGCGCCTACGGTACCTGCGAGGTGTATAAATACTGGGCAGCCAGGTATCCTACTTCTCGCTCAGGTTGGAGCGCGTTTTCTCGTTGTCACTTGCACCCTCAAAGCGTGATCCCGCAGCCATATCAGCCCTCGCGCCGAATAACAAGAAATCCTCAAAACGGCTCTCTCCTCTAATACTGGTATGACTGTCCTACTATGCTTCATTATCATCGTAAGTAGACTCGCGATTAACCGCAACAGGAAACAGACGGAGATAGCGACTGCACAACGGACAAATCATCTACAATCCACCCGCCAACCCGGTAGATTGTTGCTGGTGGCCGCCTCGATGCGCCCCTCTACTTCGGTTTCGGCTCTCCTGGCCGCCATGGCCTTCGCCGGCCTGGCCCTCGCAGGCCCAATCGCCTACGGTATCTGCCAAGCCGGCTGCGCGGCCCTTGTCATGGCTTGCTACGCTGCCGCTGGCGCTACTTGGGGAGCCACGTTGGGCGCCACGGCTCCAGCTACCGTTATAGCCTGCAACTCTGCCTTTGGCACTTGCCAGGCCGGCTGCGCGACAGCGCTTCTCCTTCCCATCCCGTAATATGGAGCAGGGGACAAGGCCGAGCATAAGAACATAGGGGAGGACTGGATGTGCAGCCAATATTGTATGGAGAGGGAGAACTTTGGATCATGTGTTCCGTCAGAGAGTAACGGAATGGATACATAGCAACGAACGAACATATTCTCCCTGACGGAGCTTCCTTGCAATCACCACATGCAATACATGGATGCTGTTGGTTTTGAAGCAGATCACTAATCGGGCCGTGGGAGCTCGATTCGGGGTGCCGATGCCAGCGTGCCGCTGGAAATGACTTCGGATCTATGGTTTGGACAGGCGTACCTTTGGTTCCCATGTCTGGAACAACCAATGTAGCCAAGCTTCATCCTGTCCCCCTGTAAGGGGGGTGGCTGATCCCAGACGCAGAGAATAAGAGGGTAGTAGCAGCGTAGATGCTTTATTGCAAGTACACTTACGGGATCACGGCTGTCGCCCCCAGTGAAGTATTCCATGATGTGTCGCTGCACCACTCAAGTTCGAGCCCAACAAATGGTGATAGCTGGCGTTAGCGCATCCCAGTCGCAGAACCTGAGGGTGTCTGCACGAAGCCTGCCCTGAGCCTGCCGCAAGCCAGTGTAAGTGACTGCAGGTGGAATACGTATTCGAATTATCTTAATCTTGCCCATTCTAACCCTCACGAGGGTGTCAGGTAGCCCTTTGCTCCGTCGTATCGCCACCAAATGGCTCCGATGGTTATTTCCATTATGGGAGCCCAACTTTCAGACAGCCTAGCACCGTGTCCCTCTAGACCAACATGGCGTCCAAGGATAAAATCTCATTCTAAGGCACAATTACTACGAGAAGGATGTTACCAAGACGCCCCTTCATCAAATGGGCTGTGCTGTTCAGGAGCGGACCCTCTCATCCCGCAGCTGAGGTGCGCCCAGACGCAGGACATTAGGTCACATACAAATGAAGACATCCGGGAGCTTCCTTAATGATCGAGATGGGCATTGCTAGGCGTGGCCATGAGACAGGCTGTTGTCGGCCGGGACAGGTCGTGAGGGACAAGAACCTTGACATCATGTCGTGAATAGGTCACTGGCGAGGAAGGGGTGTCTGCCCTAGAGCCGGGAATTCTGACACAACTCCCATATCATTTCGGCCCAATCCAGTCTTACATGAACCCGAAGGAAAAAAAAATCGAAAACAGTAAAGTTGCTATCCGCAGCGCATGCGAAAATGCCACGCCCTATTCGTCGTCGCCTTTCACCCCAGCCGTCGCCTTGGCCCCTGCCTCGGTCACTACCTCGGTCATTGCCAGAAACAGATGATCCCATAGCTCCTTCAGACTAGGCCGCTCTTCACTGTTCACGGTGAGGCACCGCCGCACAAAGTCCAACGCCTGTGGAGCATCCGCAGGAAGCATCTCGGCGTGCTCGAGGAACAGAAGCTCTAGCCCGGAGCCAGTCCGACCCTGTTCTAGAATCCTGGCCGCAACCACCACGGCGGCGGCGAAGTCGGGGATGAGCGGGTCCACCCTCCTGGCCAGCAGCTGGACGGCCACGACGCCGAGCAGCCAAATGTCGGCTTTGCGCAGGTCGCCGTCTGCGGCTCGTCTAAAAACCACCCCAGGCACCGCTAGAGCGCTAACTCGGAACGGCTGCTGGCCCGTGACTGAAGCGTCGAGGTATGCAACGTTGATTTTGGCGACGTTGCCGCACATACTAAACTTAACCTACTCGGAATCAAGAAAGGCGACGGAAAATCCTAGGTCGTTGTACGCCTCGTAAAGGCCCCAAACGAGCTCGCGAAGGGCTTTCCGGATATCAAAAACCCCGAAATGCCCTTCAAAAAAACGTATAACCTCTCGCAAACGTCGTCCGTCAGTGGGTAGGTGTGGCCCTTGTGGCGCTGGTAGCCGATGTAGTTGACGATGGCGTACGAACGTCGCGCGGGGTCCGCCTTTTGCTCCGGCAAGGAAAGAGCTCTCTGTAGTGCCGGCTCCTCGATATCGAGGCGTTCTGCTGCCCACATACGACCTGCGGTTGGTGAGTCCAGCGACACATCCATTACTTGGAAGATCGGACCATGGCGTCCGTTTCCTTCTTTGTCGCGATAACCATAACCGAGTGCGATGTGGAAAGGCCCATTGCTTTCCTCCATGTTGCAAAGGACCTGGGCGCCTAGTGTTGGCGAGTATGAATTTGGCGAAATAAAATCAGTGCAATGCTTGCTCGACTTGATGGGCTGCAGCAGCGGTGAGGAGAGACATCTTCAGAGGATTGCATGCCCGGGGTAAAAGGGACGGCCCCAAGCAGCCTGATCACGCCTCATGCCACCAACTCGCATGTTAGAGGGAAAAAATAAAGCAGACAACAAAACAAACATAAGATATTGAAGATTTCCTGTTGTCATCCACCTAGGTGGTACCTGTACGTACACATATGTACGATAGTTGGGTCCTCATCTGGTTCAGAACGAGCGAGACAACACCCAATGGGGAACTGGACAATCCATTGTGCCGCATACTGTACAGATTGATCCCACAATTTAACAAAGTTCCCAAACGAACAATTCAACTTTGGTTTAATGTGCTGTTCCCGGGGTGGATTTAATGATCTTGGGCCATTTCGTAATTATCTTTGCCGTCTTGTCTTTTTTTGCTGGTGTTGGTTGCGAACGCATTCTCAAAGTTCATCGTCCAAAAAATGGCATCGTCAATGTTTTGCCCACACTGTGGGAAGCGGATGACGCAATCAAAGTGATGAAGCCCGACGATCACCAATCTTCAAGTGACGCTGTTTTTTGCATTGAATGCCACTCACTCAATCCAAAGCAATAGCAAACGCGGCCATGGCACCAATCGGGATTGCACTGGTCGGCGGAGGCATCTTCATCAAGCAGGCTCATCTCGTACGTCGAACCCAGCAGAAAACCCCATGAAAAAAGCCCAGCTCAGAACAGAAGAGTGTGGCTGACGGGAAAAACCTCACCCCTTCCATAGCCTGCCGTACTGGCTACTCCCTCTCTAGAGATCAAGGCCATCTACTCGCGGTCGCTCAAGTCGGCGCAGGATACGGCCGCGCTCCTGCCAACCCCGGCGTCAGCCGCGCTCTACTCGGACGACGAGGGCGGCAGCGGCGGGTACGCGGCCGTGCTGGCGCGGGCCGATGTGGCGGGCGTCATCATCGCGCTGCCCATCGCCAACCAGCCGACGTACGTGCGGCTCGCCCTCGACGCGGGCAAGCACGTGCTGGCCGAGAAGCCCATCGCGCCCGACGTCGACCAGGCGCGCGGGCTGCTGCGTCACTACGCCGACATCAGGGCCGCGGGGTCCGCCGCCACCTGGTCCGTCGCCGAGCAGTTCCGCTGCATGCCCAACTACCTCAGGGGCGCCGCCGAGGCGAGGACGCTGGGCAAGGTGACGGGGTTCCGGGCCATTCAGAACTTTATGATCAAAGAGGGTGGGTGATATGGTTCGAATTCCTCCTGGAGCCCAGGGGGGTCTTCTTGGAGATGGATTCCCAAAAAAAAAACGAACATAAAAACTGACAAGCCTCATCGTGTATGCTAGACAACCAGTACTACAACACAGACTGGCGCAAGGTCCCGACGCACAACCACGGCTTCCTGCTGGACGCCGGCGTGCACTGGGTGGCTTCTCTGCGCATGCTCCTCGGGCCCGACGAGCCGGTCGAGACGGCCTCGGGCCTCAGCCACACGGCCACCAAGCACCTCCCGCCGCCCGACACGCTCCAGGGCGTGCTGCGGACGCGCTCGGGCGTCTCGGGCGCCTTCCTGGCCTCGTGCGGCTCGACGCTGCCGGCCCTGTCCGAGTTCGCGGTCGCGTGCGAGCGCGGCAGCGTCGTCATCAGGCGGGACCAGGTGACCATCGTCAGGACGGCGGCGACCGCCGACGGCAAGACGACGGAGGAGACGGAGACGGTCGACGTCGACGCGTCCGGGAACGTCCTGTACGAGGTCCAGGCCTGGGCCGCGGCGCTGCAGGCCGGCGTGCCGGACCCGAGGTTGGCGCCCGAGGAGGCGCTCGCGGACCTGGAGCTGCTGCTCGGGATGCTGCAGAGCGCCGAGGCGGGTGGGATCCCGCAGACCTTGGGTCTGCAGCAGGTCGGGGCGTCTGCGTAGCTGCAACTATGGTTTTTGGTGAGCGAGATGGCGGAAGACGAGGCGCAAGTGCTGGAACAGGCATTGCACAAAGCTGAAGCAGCAACCAGATATTAGGTCATCACGCCTAGTTGAATCGTTTCCCATGACTACATACATTGTTTGGTCCGGCAGATTATAGTGGCGGGAGACAGGGAACAATCTACAGCTTTCCTTTGGGCCGTGTTGTTGAAGCCTCCTGTCCGTCCGTCTTGACTAGGATGCGCTCCAGGCCCCGACGGAGCACGTCGTTCAGGCCGTCGGCGCAGGGCCTCCCCGTGGGGCGGTCTACAAAGACCTGCACGAACTCCCCGACCGCCCTCACCTTGTCCACGCCCTTCTCGAAAAGGGCGATCTCGTAGGTCACGCTCGTCCTGCCGAGCTTGTTGACCCGCATCGCCAGCTCAGCCACGGCCGGGAAGCTGATAGATCCCTGCGGACGCGGGGGGCATACCGGTGTAAGTGTGCGAACATGTCGGGCTGTGTGGGGGGAGAGGAGCGGGCACTGACGAAGTAGTCGTTGTGGGAGTGGACGACCATGCCGTGCTGCGGCGAGCGCGTCGGCTCCAGGCCGCAGAACTGCATCAGGTATGTGTTGATGATGGCATCGTAGCTTTTGAAGACTTCCTCGTTAGCAATCGGCGCTTACGCGGGTTGGAAAAAGGGGCATTCTACGGACAGTTGGATGTACGTCGCGTTGTTCATGTGTGCGTATTGGTCGTTGTCGGCCCATCTCGTGCGGTACTCCAGGGCGAACGGGTAGTCGTCCCGAGTCCTTTTTTTGAGAGCCTCATAGTTCGCTGTCATGATGTATTCTGTATTAGCAGCGACGCGTCTACTTTCCTTCTTCTTTTCTTCAGGCACGCCACTGTCGCCGTTTGGCCTAAGCGTGGTCAAGCTACGAGCGCGTCTGATCCGTCTGCACGTGATGACTTTAGCTTCATCACGTGCTCACTATTTCATATTGCCGCTCGCGACCGCCAAATTTTGATGAGCCAAGCCTACGTGGATGACTTCCGAAATGCCTGCATTTCCCCCTCGTTTTCAGTTTTCGGTCGATATCACTCAAGCCGGAACTTGCTCCGACACTCCCGCGTCCGCTATTGCATTACTCCCAAGGCGCTCCCGCGTTTGGTCAGTCTTTCGGCTATCTTCTGGGCTCCCGGACTTGCTGAAAGGCTCAAAATTTCAGCCGCCTCGGCATCTGTCTCGCGAGCCCTAGCGCTGCCCTCTTTGCGCGGGGGTCTACTCGGGCGCGTCATGGCACACGGTCCTCCAGGGCCCGCGGCCGCGCCCATGGAGGCATCGGCGGCAGCGGCGGCAGGAGGCCCGAACACAGTCGCAGCCGCCCCTGCGGCTCTCACGGCCGAAGCAAGCGCGTCCACCCCCATAGCGATGCCTCCGCCGCCAGCATGGCCGCCCCCGTATGTCATCGAGGATGGCCTGCGGCGGGTTGCGCCGTACCACTTTGTCTACAACACGTGGTGCAAGGAGCGGTGGCGCGACAGGGCGCTGATCGAGATCTTCGAGAGCGAGTTCAGGGACAGACCCCTCGAGTACTACCGGATGTGCATGGAGAAGGGCGCGGTCCTGGTCAACGGCAAGATGGTCGGCCCGGAGCATATCGTCAAGAACGGCGAGCTGATATCGCACATCTGCCATCGCCATGAGCCGCCCGTCACGGCGGAGCCCGTGCAGATTCTCGACGAGAACGATGAGATGATTGTCATTGACAAGCCGTCTGGCATCCCCGTTCACCCCGCCGGGAGGTACAACTTCAACTCGGTCGTCGAGATCCTGAGATCCCAGCGGACCCAGGATTTCAAGGCGTACCCTTGCAACCGCCTGGACAGGCTCACGAGCGGCATCATGTTCATCGCCAAGAACTCCAAGGCCGCTGAGAGACTTGGGGTCCAGATCCGGGCCAGGACCGTCCGCAAGGAGTATGTGGCCCGTGTCATTGGGCGCTTCCCCGACGGCGAAGTCGTCTGCAACCAGCCCATCCTCCAGATATCCCCCAAGCTGGGGCTGAATCGGGTGAGGGCCAACGGTCGGCCATCACGCACCGTGTTCAAGAGGCTCGCCTACTACCCTCCGCAGCAGCCAGCGTCCGGTCAGGGCGAGACTCTGGGCGAGGAGAGCAGGCCATGGAGGGGCAAGGAGGGATACTCTATCGTGCGCTGCCTGCCCGTGACTGGCAGGACACATCAGCTGAGGGTCCACCTCCAGCACCTGGGTCACCCAATCGAGAACGACCCGATATATGCCAACTACAAGGTCTGGGGCATCGATCTGGGGGCCGACGACCCTGACGCCAACCTCAACAGCGACGAGGACATTATCTCGCGGCTCTCGCGCATGGGCAAGGAGGACGTTGCCGAGGCGGTAGCGTACTACGACGAGATGGTGGACCAGTACTACAAGAAGAAGGCCGAGAAGATGTCCGGGGAGCTGTGCGAGGTGTGCGATACACCCTTGTACACCGATCCCGGCCCGCACGAGCTCACGCTATGGCTTCACAGCCTTCGATACGAGGACGCGGCGGACGGGGCTTGGAGCTACTCCAGTCCCCTCCCGAAGTGGGCCATGCCCCCGGAGGGAATGAGTGGTCCCACCAATGTTGGCGGCATGGACGACCTGGTTGGGGCGGTGAAAGACACCAATCCGGAGCTCGCATCGTCGCCACAGTGAAACTCGACTTCCCTGCCAGCCGTGAATATTGGTTCCACTCCCGTGGCAGGAGATGGAGAGCCTCCGGATGGGGGAACATGGAGCACCTGGCACCATGGGGAGGGCTTGGGTCGCAACCTCATGATAGAAACGGCCACGTGAAACCCCGGGAAGCCTATCCGTCTCTTTCCATCTCCCCACTATGGGGGCTGATGGCCGTCGCGTCGTTTTCTTCCTCTTCCCAGGTCTCTAGAAGAGATGGCAGCAAAGATTAGGTGAACCCCGTCTGGCTTCCTTCTTGGCACGCGAGTCGAACAATTCTCGAAGCTGCGCAATAGGCCCTTCTCGAACAAAGGTTGCTCTCGAAGGGCACGCTGTGAGGGGTTGCCCTGCTTCAGCATGGCTGCACGCTGCTTCTAGTGAAACGAGGCCGGCGGAGTGTGCCGTTAGCCGCCCCAGGCCTGGACACGCCCGGGATGCCTTTGGCGGCAAGCCGGGGTGAGAAAAGTGCAAGAGGGAAAAAAACAAAGGAAAGAGAAAAGATGGCGTTTGCGTATGTACGTACGGTAGCCTGCCATGCCGCCGGCAGATGAAGGCTAGGTCCCTGCCGGCCCTCCTCTCTTGGCCCTGGAAAACGGCCGTGAGCAGGCATCCATGGGTGCCTTCACCAGCGGACCCCAGTGCTCCCACATTCTCCCGGACGTCTTCTTTCGGGGATTCAGGTGACGGTGACGGTGGCATGGGGGTAACATAACGCGATCGAGGCAAGCTTCTCTACTCGGGTGCTTTCGCCGGCATGATTCCCGCCAATCAATCCCCCAGCGGACCCTCAGCACCGTTGGCCAGCCCGCTGGCCCCGGCCTCCTGGTCTCTCGCTTCCTGGGTGTCTTTTGCCCTTGCTGATGCAGCATCCCTCCGCCCTCCGCTCTCATGCTTGTCCATCTGCAGCGCCTTGCCCCCCTCTCTTGACTCAACGCCCTTGCAAAAAAACAGAAAAAGAAAAGAAAAAAAAGAATGAGATTAAAAAAAACACACACACAAAGGAGAATTTGCATGCCTGCCTGCCCGCCTGGCCTTCCGCCCGGCCGCCCGGCCGTCCGCCCGCCCGCAACCCTGGCGCCATCTCTGCATTCCCGCGTACCCTGTGACGGCCAGGGGGGAAACGAGCTCGAGCCCGTGGCCTGGCCAGCTCAGAACCTTATATCGACGATGTTAGCGGGCCCGTCAACCCTGTGCCAGCAGCCCCCCTGGTCAAGCGGCGGCCCGCGGGAGGGAGGGCGGTGCGCGGTAAATCTTGGTGATCGGAGCCCGCTCCCACCTGGCCGCTGAACATGGAGGTGGGCAGACGACGGATCCATGCATATGGCATCCGGACAATATTTTTTTTTGTTTCCCTCCTCATCCTTGTTATTGTTGTTTTTCTTTTACTCTTGCCCTTGTTGTTATCTTTCTTTCTCATCCTGCAATCGGTTGGCACTCCAACGCAATGCCTCCGCCACCCAGAGCCAAGGGCTTGTCCGCGTCTGCTATATTGGGCGTCCTTTGTCAGGACATACATACGATTTCACATGCGGCTAGAAGGACGGGTATGGCACGTTTGCGGACGCCAATTCGCCTCTGTTGTTTGCAAGAGGTCCCGGCTACGTGAGGCGCCTGCCCTGGCCCGGCAGAGGAGGACTGTTCCAACCCCCTCTCGTTAGTCGCGCGTGCTCGCTCGCTCCAAAGGATCAGTAGAGATTACGGTTGGAGGAGAAAGCGAGGAGCAAGACGAGGGGAGGGCGGGAAAGCGGACATGGGTGTGAGGGAAGCCAAGGGGAACGTGCAGGAAACTATTGGGTGGCAACAGGGGACGAGAGGAGAGGGAGAGGGGGGCGCGTTCGACGGCACGGTGGCACGGTTATGATGCTATGTATAGTCGGGGGTGTGGCGACAAGGAAGAAGAAGAAGAAGAGACGGACAGAGCGCTGACAAACATGATCGATGCCGCCACCGGCCGTCGCGCCGTTGGAAGAGCCCGAGCGAACGCCGGGCTTCCTTTCGGGTGTGTGTGATGGTGGTGTTGTTGACCAAGTACAAAGACAAAGGGAAGCAAAAAAAAAAAAAAAAAAAAAAAGGGCTCTGTAAGCATGGTGTGCACACGCACGGCCGTCCGTCTGGCGATGATGACGGGCAGCGCACAGCCAACCCTTTCCCAGCACCGAGCCGACCCCGTCAAACAGGGTAGGGTAGGCAGGCAGGGAAGGGAAGGGAAGGGGAGGGGGGAAACTTGCTCTCTCGACGCAAGAGGAGAAAAGGACAGGGCCGGGGTCGACAACGCCGGGCTCCCATGCAGCCGAAAGAGAAAAAGGAACCAAAGGAGGGCAGGCATGCATGGCCTTTGTCCGAAGAAGACGCCCGTGAT